CCTCTAATTATTTTATATTCAATCTGTTGGAATTTAATAAGATCTTCTAATAATATATTATCAACTCTCATAACACAAGGTTCATTAGTATTATGATTACCAGTTTTATCTTTTTTAACAATCAATGGGAAATGTAATTTCTTATTTACTTTAGTAATATCAATATCAACAATAAAAGCAGAAATAAATTTACTTTCAGTAGGTTCTAATTGTTGTTCATCCATAAGGTGATTAAGTAAATAATCATTAATTAACATATTTTTAGGAATAACAATTGGAGAACCAGTTGCTAATTTTAATCTATTAATAGCTGAAGGATATAATGAACAAGCATCATAATCATATAATTCATCATTTACATACCACTTTTTATTATCTCTAGTCATACATCTACCCTCCATAAATAGCTCCTTGAATAAATTCTCTAACTTTTCCTCCATATTCTTTTAAATTATTTATTTTTGAATATACGTTATGCTTAAAGTAAGTATTAGCTAAAGAAGCTGCTGAAATTACTTTATCGACATCAATATTTAAATATTCTAAACACATATCTCTAAATTTGGAATGACCTTGTTTTAAGATTCTAACATCTTGATTACAATAGAATACACAATAAGCTTTCATATTGAAATGATATTCATCCGTTCTACAATTATCAATAGAATCAATATTCTTAACAAATAATTTAAATTGATCTTCATTCCATTGTTGTATTTCGTATAAATCAGCTTCTAATATATTTCCAATATTAGATTCAACACGTTCTTGATTGTACGACGTTTCACGTCTGAGGCCCCCCGGGCCGTAATAATTATAAGGATAGATCTCTTTTTGAATATTAGATAAGCCAAACATCTTTGGAAAAGAGGCTAAACTAGTTGAAATTAAAGCATAAGAATCTTTAAAAGTTAATTGTTTACCTTGGAATTTAAGAGTAATTTGCATGATTTTACCTGATTTCTTAATACATCTATTAACACCATATTTAGCAAGGAATGAACCATCATATTTAAGATTATGAAAATAACAAACAGCATTATGAGGTAAATCACATAAGAAATCATAAGCACAATCTTTTCCATATTTATTATAAATTTTATCTTCACCTCTTTTAGAATAACAAACACAATATGGATTATGATATCCTTGTGTTGAAGCTTCAAAATCAGCGTACCAATAAGAATGATCTACTTCTTTTCGTTTATTTTCTTTGATTTCAATTTTTCTTGTTTCAAAAGGAAGATATTCAAGTGTATTTAATGATTGTAATACATATTCAGATAAATCAGATTTCAAATGTAAAACATCAGAAAGAGAATAAGGTTCAAATCCATTATGATCTCTAATATAAATAATAAGATCTGATAATTTGATAGTATTACTATTTTTATCTTTAACTTCATAACATTGTTTATTTTTATTATAACGTTGCTTGTTAAACATTGATTTTATACTTAAATTATGAGTAATAGCCCAATTATCAAGTTCTTCTCTATTTTTAAGATAAAATGGAGTAATTGGAATATCAATATTCAAAATATAATGATCGCCTTTCATTAAAGAATCTCTATATAAAAACATTTCTAAATTATATTTAGCATCTTTAAGTTCACAACCATAATAATCTATTTTTCTATTTTTATGTTTGTTTGATTTATCAGTATTCTCTCTATCAATTCTAATTCGAATATGAGCAGATTTACATAATTCATCTAACATTTTGGCTTTTTGATAACGACCTCTACAATGAATTAATACTAATTCTAAAGTTTCATCATCGACATTAGCTTGTTTTAAAGCATAAGTGAAACAATTTAAATCAAATTCTGATCTAACCTTTTCATTTTCATTAATCAATGAACTGAATATTTGTGCTTTAGCAAGATATTGACCAAATATTTCAAATTCTGGTTTATAATGATAAGGGAAAAAGCTTCCGCCAGTAGTTTTGTATTGATGAATAAGATCTTCAGTATAAAGATATGGAGATATTTTTAATTCTAATATGAATAATGGTTCGGGAATAGTTTGTTGAACATAAAAAGTAGAATCTATAGAATCATTTACTTCTTGTTTATTGATAAAACACATGGATTCTTCAGAAACAGAATTAAGAAATTCATCAATGGCGTCTTTAGTATTTAACATATAAGTTTTCCATCCATCTTGACTAAGTAATTATT